AAACAAGATATTATGACTTAATATTAGAAGAAGGCAGGCAAAAGGCGCTCCGCTTTGATCAAAAATTACAGAAAAACAAGAATTCTGTCTATAGAATGGTTATGGTATTCTGAAACAAGTTTAAATATGACAAGGGACATTAACTAACAAGGTAAAAAAGCTCAATTTTGATTTCAGTTTGACTTTTAATTATTACATTCATTGAGCTTCTAAAGGTTAACAGAAAAATACTTATTGTGTTACATTCTGTCAGCTTATTATTAGACAATTTAGCAAAATAAATCAAATCAAAATAATATCATATAAAAAAAATAGTTTGCAAAAGAAAGCAATCCAGTTGTGAAAATTATCCCTTAACAGCTGCAGAGTAATGAGTTCAGTCCAGCTCTGCGAGGTGAGATATGACTGGGCCAGGTTTAGCTCTGTTTCAGTGTGAAAGCTCTCACCAGGCCCTCTGTCTTATCTCTGTGTGTACTGGGAATGTGAGAATGTGATTGTTGTTATTTATACCCCTGAGAGGCTGATAGAGAAGTGGCAGCAGGGGAGACATCTTTATCTTCATCAGCTCCGTTTACATACTGGATGGAGGGGAGACTGGAGCTGTGTGTGTGGGACCATCACAACCTACCTATCAACCCCTTTATCATCCCTCTCACATCTCCATGTTAATCAGAGAACCACTCAGCTGTGAAAACTCTTCAGCAAAACACAAAGAAAATCAATACTCTAAAAAGTTAAGTTACATCATTTTAACCCATCATTATGATTAGGGAGCTCTCTGGGCCTTGATTTCCGATGGGTGAGACCAAGTCTGTGTGAAAAAATGACACTCTAGTCCTAGATACATCACTGATTGTGAATACATGTGGCAGCCTGACCAATGCATTTCAATCATATGTCGGAGTGGAAACTGTAAAACTGCTACAAGGTTAAATATATGTAAATGTCTGTTAGAAGGTTCAAATAAAACATGCAATGTCTTTTACAAGCTTCAAATGTCTGCTATATAAATAAACTTTGACTTGATTTGACTTGACTCAATACAGCTACATACTTCATTAACCTTGGACTAAAACTGAACTGAATCTGAATAGTTTTCCAAATGATTGGTCTTCTCCTGACCCTCTGACCTCAGACTAGCTTAGATGTTTTCTTTCTCAGCAGTCAAGATAAATATGCAAATATATGAAACCTGATGCAGGATTAGCCTGAAATCTGTAACAAGGCGTGGGATGATCAGGGAGTGAAGGAGAAGAAGAAGATCCGTTCTCCTGAATCACTCTACACTAGGAAAAGCCTCTCATTGTTTCCTGGTGGATTCACCCCACTGTCGAACATCACAGCAAGCATTTGTTTGCTCTCTCACTCCTATAGACTGAAAATTAACCGCAAAACATGTGCTTGCATTTAACAGCCAAGAAAAGGTTAACTGGTGACCCCTACAAACCCTTACAGCAAGATCTGCCTATGGATAATTACTCACCGCAAAGCTATGAATGTGAAAGCGTCTATGATTGAAAAGCTTAAGATTCATTCAAGATTACAAATAGAGCTCTAACTCCAGATTGTTATTCTTGCGTTAAAACTCTTGGACTCTGATTGAGGAAAAAGGGCAATGCGTTAACTAATACCCATACATTTGGCCAAATATGGAGAGTAGCAGATGAATGAACAGCTGAGATCAAGTCCTGAATGTCTTTTCCCATATCAGTAACTCCAGTCACTCGTTTCTTTTTTAATCCTTTACACGTAGACAAATTTGAGTTGTGCTGCAGTTGTTTAATTAGGACGGATAATATTTTACCTCTGCCTGGCATGTGGAGGAAAGTCTAGGAGTAAATTTGTGGAGGCTTTAGTCTATTTTTAGACAGGCAGCAAGAAACAGCAGCAGGTCAATGATTACAAAAGAGCCAAATATTTCCAGAGCCACCCTCCTGAGTGCTCTGCCTTTCCCTGATTGTGTTCTCACACAAAGTCAGGAAGCTGGCTGCCGTTGCTGCTGCAAACATAAGCAAGCTTACTCCTGGCTACTCACAGCGAATACATGTCACATAACCTGGAACCTGGCCTCATGCTATAGTACTCAACCTCAATGCCCTTGCTTTATAAATTACTCATGTTTGAGATGTTTGATGTGGACAGCCATAGGCCTCCATACAATCACATAACGGGCCTTGCTATTGCTGCTGCGCCAACATACTAAAAGTTAATCACTTCAAACTACAGCATGTTGAATGCTATGTGCTGTAGCTCTTTTCCAGCCTCCATTCACCCACCTGCTTTATCTCCACCTGCCAAATATGCACAAATCACTGTGGAGCCCAGACTCGGGCCAACATGTACCTGGTACCTTGATTTGCTATTACATTGTCCATACAGTAAGATTCATTATGGAACAGAAACAATCTAAAATAAGTACTTTTATGTCTCTCACTCTTGACCTCTGAACCAATTCTCCTACATGTTTGTCTAGCAAAAAGGTTCAAGTAACATAGACATGGTAACATAGACATTTACACATTTATTAGAGCTAAAGTAGTAAAGTGATGTTCTTTTGTCATTTTTTACAAAACAAAATTTTGCATACATTTGAAGTGTAGTGTTTTTACTGCATCAAGAGATTGTTTAATGTTCAAATTCAATCAAATATGATTATATAATAACCCCTCATATCTTTATCATTGATCATAATCTATTTTACATCTTAAGAGGCAAGAGTGTATGTCTATCTCTGTTTGTGTCTCAGACCCCAGACACCAGGCTTAGGCAGGACTCACGCCACTCCTATGCCTCAGCGTCCTCTCCTCTGGGCATTTCATTACCATTTCGGGGCATTTTTGTTTAATTTGCAGAACTGGGCCTGTTTACAGTGGCCAGACCAGAGTGCGTCACAGATGTAGATATAGAGGGAAGGGAGAAAGCAGCAGCACCTGAGGGAAGGGCAGAGCAGCAGCACGGCTGGGTGAAAGGCCCTCTCCCCCTGATCTGCAAGCAGCTTTTCTTGCCCAAATCTTCCTTCGACGACCAAGACTGGTTCATGATCAGCGGAAAAGGAAAACAGTGTAATAGCAGGAAATGGAGTGTTTCTCGGGGAGGGTCTGGGTTTCCTCCCCCATCTTAACTGCATTGAAGGCCATGCAAACACTTCACCCCTCTGAGATTCCTCAGAGCCTTCATCTAATCCCTCACTGCAGAGGACAGCGGCCATGAAAGAGCTAAAAACATTACTGATATGTCCTTTTTTGAAAACACCATATTAATAGAAATATTACAGTGATATTATTGATTTGATTGATATTAACAATAAATAGCATTATTGACAAAATAGCATTCATTACAATAATATAATCATAAATATATTGCTATTTATTAATATTATCATTATCATTATTATTATTATAAATGCAAATATGCAATGATTTTGCATTGATTGAAGTAAATTATCACTATTATTAAAGCATATTATTATATTATTATTATTTTGTTTTTATATTGGTTTTATTCTAGTTCATTAGAAGTATATAGTAATTATCAAAATAAATGCCTTCAAAATATAATTATTCTGTATTATTATTTCATTTTATGCTATGTGTTATGTGTGTTCTTTTTTTCCTTTAGACTTTAAACCAGACAAAATTGTAAATAATTTAAGCTGTAAATAAAGTAAATAAAGTAAGCTGTTTTTAAATGCTGAAACAATTTCACCAATCAGCATCATGTGAGGTGTCACAAATCCTTGACATTCTTTATTGCTCCTGTGTTGTTCTTGTGTGTGTGTGTGTGTGTGTGTGTGAGTGTGTGTGTGTGTGTGAGAGAGAGAGAGAGCTGTAAAAATCAGCAGTCACACCAGAGAGAGTGCAGCCCAATGTCCTGTACGACACTGCAGTGATGAAGGTGCAGCCAGTCAGCACTGTGTCATGTGCAAAGAGCATGAGGCATTACAGGCCTTGTAGTTTATATATGATAAAGAATCACATCTTCACAGGAACAGATACAAACAACAGGAAAATACAAGCACATCAGAAACGATCTGGGCGACCTTCGTTATTGACAACTAGGCTCCTATTACACCGACAACCTCTATTCACAAAACGCTGTATAAACGTATTAAATTAGAATCACAATCACTTTATTTCGCTAAGTATATTACAAGGAATTTGTCTGTGTGTTTCTGCACATGTATGAGATGTAAGATACTGAACGTGACAAACAAGCACACGGGCTGTTGACAAGTATTAAACTAGGGGAAAAGTAAAAAAAATAACAAAATAAAATAAAATAAAATAAAATAAATAGGAAATAGAATAAAGAATAATAATAAAAACAGTCAATGGAAAAGGAGCTCAGGAGATGTACGTATGAGATGTGTGGCTATCTGTACACATGTGTGCATGCAGGCCAAGTAGACATGTACAAATCTGTGAGTTTTTCTCCTCACTCCTCCAGTGGTGTCGTCACAGCGCGTCCCTGAAACAAAACATGGGAAAAGAACACAGATGCTGCGTCCGAAACCACATCCTCCCATACAAAACAGAGTGTCAGAAAGAGTACGCCTGCATTAGGAGCCCTTTTATTTGTTCAGTTTGTACAGTATATCCCGGTATAGTTATATTATATGCTATGCGGTGTTGGACGCAAATAGTGTGAGCCACTGTAATAAAACAGAAAATGAACATAACCCTTCGTGATATAAACAGAAAAAGCCCAACACGGTGAACACGAACACGTTTAAATCCGAAGAAAACGTCACGCGCACGGTTCCTGATTGGCTCCCAGCCGGTTCTCCATGTAGAGACGCTTTACCGAGGCCTCTTTTCTCCACCCGTATTGCGAGAGGCCTCGCCTTCCTGCGCAGATAGGCGGACTGCTCGCGAGAGTGAACGACTACTAGCCAATCCCAGCGTAGGGGAGGCGGGGCTTTGTCATATTACGGGTGGGAACAAAAACAAAGAAGAGCGCTTCCCTAGCGACGGCGCTGCTAGGGAGCGGTGGGCGGGGCCTCGAACTCTTCCAGCTGAGTTCCATCTGCAGCGGCACTTTTCCGCTCGGCGCTTTAATAGGAGCGGTCAGCGAATGAGGAGACAGAGGAGCTCCGCTCATCTCCACCTTTAAACCTGACCTGGGTCCCTCTTTACCTCTCTCAGTTCAGTTTAACTCAAAACGAGCTTGATGTGAGGAACAAAAGAAAATTTTAAAAAATCACTTCTTTTTTCCCTTCTCTCACCCTCACAGTGCACCTCTCCACTACATCACCTTTAGTTTTTTTGCTTTTTTTTGCTTTTTCTTTTTTATTTTTAATGGTACCTCCTTGGATACTTGGCTTAAAGCACGGCTTCACCTGGGCACATCTTTTCTGAAGTCTCACCAAAAAAAACGGCACCAAGATTTCTTCTGCAACTTTAACGCACATCAGGGAAACAAAATCCACCGACAGGGAAAAGCAAAACAGAAAAGTTGTTTTTTTTTCTTCTTTTTTCGCTCGCACAAAGAAGCGTTAAAGTTACACAATGAGTCTCAAATCAGATTCTGAGCCGAACAACAGTGTATCATTAGAGGAGGAGGTAAGGGGACTCTGCTACTCTTTACTCAGTGAAGTTAAAGTTTGTTTTGTCTCTCCGGACGGCGGGGATTTTTTTGTTGTGTGAACTTTCCTTCTTTTTCCCCCCTTTTTTGGCTCGTAGCTGTAAGAAAAGTCGATGTTAAAGCTGTAACACGCCTTTTCTCTCGTCTCTCTGTTCATAAGGCAGTTCTGTCGCGGAGTTTTTAGTCTGTGTTCTTGTTATTTTTTTACCTCGGTGATTTTTAAAATGTTGAAATACTTTTGTTTTCCCTTCTCAAGCCAGTTTCAAGTGACCGTGGTGGACTTTCTGTTATTTTTCCTGCAAACTCTTGAGGAATGTGAGTTGAAGAGGAGTTGATTGTTCACCGTGTAGTTTGGTTGATGATTAATCCTCAGTCTGAACTATAACACCTGATGGCTTTACCTTTACAGCCTGTATATTCAGTCAGTGTATTTGATCTATGTTGTCTATGTAACTTTACACCTAGCCTGTATAGCCTGTGTGCTCTCTGAGGAACTTTTCACCCTGAAGTAGACTTCTGTCTTATGCCTTTACTTTATACACTGCTGTAGAGCAGGAAAGTTATCATAAAGTTTGTAATGTGGTGTCTCCATAGCATCTCCTAACATGTAAAGCTTTGGCTAGACTCTTTTAGTGTCTGGCCCTGGCTGACTGACTCATGTTGTGTAGTTATACTAATAAATCTCAGTCTTATTAAGTAAGAATAAAGCAGAATAAAGCTGCTCTTCCTTTAGCTGAGGCGTGTAATGAAGCCTGAGCAGGCTTAGTTAATGTTCACAAATGGCTTAAGCGACTCACGCGGTTAACCAGTTGACCTGTTTGAAAAGTGGCTCTAAAATTCATGTTTCCATTTTCTTGAAGTGTCTAGCTGAAATGAATCCGTCCTGTCTTGAAGCAGTGTTGTCCAGTCCAGCGGTCACCTCTGGCCCCTGGACTCGTTCCAGAGTGCGATGTGGAGGGATTTCCTGCTGCATGTCTGCTCTGTTTAGCTTTTCAATTAACTTGGAGGAGACCTGAACCCGCTGGTCTCTCTCCGGGACTCCTGTCCACTTATTTAAACGTATGGATGAAAGCATGCAGCAACCCAGCAAGGCTTTCACTCAGTGCGTTTGGAGAACTATAAAACGTTTTGGAGCTGGAGAACAAAATCGGCTTTGATGACAGATTCTTGATACTCCTGTTATGCTTTGTTGTGATAATAATAAATATAAAATAAATATATAATATAACAGTTGGGTTCTGTCTCGATGAACAAAGCAGTTTGGGCTATATCTCTCTGGTTATTAAAGTTCAGCTGTATTTGGAGACGGTCCACCAGCATGGTTGTGTGTGTGGAAATGGTTCTCAGTGTTTTGGTGCGGGCGGTTAGGGCGGACGGGGTCCCCCTTGTGTGGGGTCCATTGTGTTTGTGGAGGGTTGCAGTCCTAGGTCAGTGGATTTGGTACACCGTGTTCAGATGGCCCATTGTGTTGGGGCCTGAAACTCCAGTAAAAACAGGCCAAGGGCTGCACTTTCACTTCTAGCTGTTGTGTGCCTGAGTGTGTGTTTTGGTTGTTGTTAGCATAATGATGTTTTTTGCTTGTAGGTGATTTGCAAAAGTTTTTCTTTTGCTCGGCTCTTAAATCTCTGTAAAATGTAGTTTATTTCTCGTTAGTGTAATCACCTGCAATCAGGCTATTGATCCCCTCTTTTGGTTGTATCTAGTTAATGCCTTTTGTCAAAGTAAACTGTCCTCATATTTCTGTTTCCTTACTTTTTTAAGGTATTCTCAGACATTCACAAAACATAATGCTCCAGTTTTTCAATGATGAACTCCTGTTAGTAATTCTACCTGCTGATTTCAGTTGAAAAAGGAAAATGGTCTGAGTCAAGGTTGAGTACCAGCGCAGGCTTTTAAATTTTGTCAGGTGTTGGTGGGGTCGCTTATTCTGACCAGCAGTTAACATTGTGTGGAGATTATCCTCAGCTTGGTCCAGCCCCCAACAACACGGCCGCACTCTCTGAAATGAAGGAAATGATGACTAATTTCCAGTGGACCCTGTATTGGTGGAAATGACGTGTAGAGAAATATGAAACTCTGCTTGAGGTGAGTGCTGTTGGCCTTTTTAGCCCATGTGTGGTGGGGAAAAAGTGTTCAACAGTTTTGACTGCCGCAGAGTCATAGGTTTAAATTTGACGTGTCGATGTATTAGCTTGTTTTTGCCTTGTAATAATTTTAGAACCAGTAAATATTAAGTTTTTATTTAATTTGATTGATTTTGTTTTGTGATTTTCTTGCTGGGATGTTTGCCCATCAGTCCTTTGGTATTATTATTCCTACTTTTTCTCACCTCCTACTGTGTAGCTGCAGTTGTCCACAAATGAGGACGGGACTTGTATGAGTTTCATAGTTTGATGTATTTTTATAGAACTATTAGAAAGATCAAGCTTATTGTAGTGTATATAGTATTTCAGAGCCGTCCTTGATATCTGTGAATCTGTTGGCTTTGTTAGAGCGTTTATGTCACAAATGCTTATAAATTCATTTTTTTTTCTTGCCGTGGTAAATTTTCAAATGAACTTTTTCTTTTGGCCTTTCCAACCACTGTTTCTCTCTGTACCCACCACTTCAGTATCATTTGCTTCATCTGATTCATTTGTGTAGCTGAACTAGATTTTCTGCCTATCACTGCATCGGAGTAGAAATCCTTTTCATTCCCCATAGAGAGATTCTTGCATCCACAAACACTTTCCACGCTCAGTCCGCTCACTCACACCTGGTAGCCGTGCACACACTTAATGTCTTCACTTAACTAACACAGTTTCTCATGATTTTTGTGTACAGTCAATCTTAAGTACTGAACAAAAGCTGCAGAAAATGAAGAGAGTTTCTGAGACAATAGGAAGGGAAAAGTTGCAAGCGGGCAGCACTAAAGGTAGTCTGAAACTTGATTCATATACACAGTGTTTTTTTTTTTTGTTCAGGTACATTACTGTTCAACAAAACATGAATTCACAGTAAACCCTATTTCACATGAGACTAGCATTTTAAATCTATTAGCTCATCAGATTGATTCACATTAGTTATTGCAGAGCACGTTCTATGCGTCACTCTAATTCATGTTCTCTAGTTACTAAGGCCTTTTCATTTTCTAGGTACGAACACTTTTTGTCAGTGGCCTGCCTGTAGACATCAAGCCACGGGAGCTGTACCTGCTGTTCAGGCCATTCAAGGTATGCAGACCAACAGAGTGCTCTGAATTAAATCACCCCGCATGCGGAATGTTTTATTATTATTATGGCCAACATGTTAATGTTTATGTCTTGTTTTAATGCCTAATTATATGTAAATGTATATGATTAAACGTTTTTGGCGATTTTCAATTGCAATTATGGTTGTGTAAGGCAGCTAGACGCTCACTTTCTTTTCTCTACAGGGATATGAAGGCTCACTCATAAAACTAACCTCAAAGCAGGTAATATTTGTGAATTACTCAGTTGTTTTACTCAGTTGTGAAGTCCTGCTCTAATCCTCTCTCTTTCACGCTCTCTCAGCCTGTTGGCTTTGTTACCTTTGACAGCAGGTCTGGCGCTGAAGCCGCGAAAAATGCATTAAACGTAAGTAATCATTCGGCCGTCTGTGAGTAAATGTTCATCCTCCTGTATGCTGCTCTGAATTATTGATCAGACCTCCGCCCTCTGCGCCACAGCTCTCACGTCTAAGAGTTTGACTTCATCTCAGGCTCTTGGGTCTAAATAAGTTTGACTCGCTCTCAGGCCCTAAAAGTGGAAAGTTCCATGACGTCACAGGCTGTTGGCTCAGTTTTTAAAAGCTCTCCGTCTTCACAAAATTCAACAGAAGTTTGATGGATCTGCTATAGTTGGTCCACTTCAGGTTCATAATGGGTTCGCTGACCATGGGTCCAGTATATTGTCACTGTCACATCAAAAGTCAATTTTTAAATATTTTATAACTAAAAATTTGAAAATGCCAGCGGCTCATTACATTCTGTGAAAATTATGACCATAGAAATGGTCCAAAAGTACTTACTTACGGAAGAAAGTCTTATTAAATTAACACACTTTAAACATTAAGAGGGACCTTTTCCTTCTCCTGAAAGGTTTTCTAGAGATTATGTGCTTTGTTCTGACAACAATGATGCTCATTTATTAATCAGCATGAAGTATAACCATTTTACTGATGCTCATATGGCAAGGGTTCAACTTTATTTTGTTAGTCGCTTATAGCTTATCTAAAAATATTCATAGGTAAAATATCTGGTGAGAAACTGTTGATTACTGATAGGTTTTAAATGAGATTAAGGTTGAAGTTAGAATTAATGCTGTGTCTAAATTTGGGGAAAAAATAAGATTCAACTACAGAAAACTATTAAGTTTAATGTAAGTAAAGGACAAGGAGATTATTTATGGAAAGTCCAAAAAAGTGTTACCATAGTGTTTTTCATTTGTGCTGTGGATGCTGGTGCTGTTAATGTTCTACCTCTGTATTACCTGTTAGGGCATAGATGGACAGATACTGAACCTCTGCTGATATCAGCCAATTTCTTATCTAATATCACCTTTTCATCTCCTCTATGTTCATTAGCATAGAGTAAACAATCCTAATTACTCTTGCTTGAAGTGACACTAGAATTCCTCAGTCTCTTACACTGTCCTGTCTATCCTAAGGGAATCCGTTTTGACCCGGAGAACCCTCAGACACTGCGTCTGGAGTTTGCTAAGGCCAACACCAAGATGGCAAAGAGTAAGCTGATGGCCACACCAAACCCCTCAAGCCTGCACCCAGCTCTTGGGGCTCACTTCATTGCACGGGACCCATGTGAGTGTACTGCTCTGCACAAATGCAAAAACAATCTCATCTCTCTGTATTGGAGGGTAGGTTTTTTATGATAATATAGAATTTTCTAGTAAGGATAGGTCAGCATTTGCAGATACATTAACCTTAGAACTTTAGAATTTTTGCCTCTCTGTGTGCAGGCTTTAATATTCATACAGAAAGAGAATTTGATTGATTTAAATTATTAATTAGAGTGAAAAATAGTATGCACTGCTATGTAGGGATAAACAACATGACAATATTTATCATTGTGATATGACCACCTGCATGTTTCATTAAAAAGAGAGCACAGTTAGTCCTGTTTAACTGGATTTAGTGCAGTGCGTTAAAGTGTTATTCTTTTCTGATATCAGGAAATATCATGATGCATATTGTTTAACGTGAAAATGTTTTGTGCTATTATATTTTTGTAATATCACCCACCCCTAATTATGTGCCACATTAAGTTAATCCATTACTCATTGTAACCGAAATGCGTGTTAGTGTATTGAATACATTAAGATGCTTGGTGTGTCAGTAGTGCAAAGGATGTACTAACCTTTTCTTAAAGTGTTCTTTATACTACAGTTAAGCTTTCTTTCATTCTTTTCCATGCTGCAAAAATGAAGTAAATTTTAGAGCAGGTGTGTAAGGGGCAGGCAGACAGGTTTCCTGGGCTTTTACAGACTCTGTGTCTGTTCTGAATATGCCACATGTCTCATTCGGATGCATTTGTCTCTGTAGATGACCTGACTGGTGCAGCACTGATTCCAGCATCCCCAGAGGCATGGGCTCCGTACCCTCTCTACACCACTGAGCTGACCCCTGGCCTGCCCCACGCAGCCTTCACCTACCCCGCAGCCGCTGCAGCCGCCGCCGCCCTGCACGCCCAGGTGAGGGACCAACCGGTGTGTTCCCTTTCCTTATCTTTCACACTGCACACGCTCTATACACACTCATTGGTTCATGATGTACTGTAGAGTGACCTGGCAAACTTCACTGCTGTACGTCCACTGGTTCTTTAAAGCTACAAGGGCCATGTTATAGAAACTTCCTGTCTTTATGCCACATTCTATTACAAATTCATATTACAAAACAAATCCTATCTTAAATCTGGAATTTTATCTTATCTTCATTTATCTTATCTCAATTTAGGAGGTCCTAAATCTCTTAGTCAAGGTTGATCATCAATTATGCCTGTTACAGAGCAACCGACTATGGGTGCGCATCTGATGTTTAAACATGTAATTGAAGTTGCATAAACAAAAAATGTAAGTTATAGTTAGCCAGACAGCTACTGTTGTCAAAACAAAAAAATAATAACACAAAAATAAAAGTGCAGTGTCCTCGAAGTCTACCAAAACTAGTATAAAAAGCTAAGAATATAGTGACTGTGGTTAACCCTTGCTATTTAATGGAACTGTTGTTGCTCCCCAGATTTCCATTTCCCAAGAAGTAGTAACCTGCTTTAATTACACATCATGCTATTTCTTCTATTAAACATCCTATTAAACTATTAAACTTTCAACTCTCATTATTCAGTGGTTTAATGAGTATTTTTTTCACCATCTGCCATCCCTGCAATATTTTATTTAAAAGGTTTTCATCAACATTTGTGCATTTTACAATATTAGTAAATGTAACACTATTATGCTAGTTAATGCTAGTGAACATGTTACCCTAAATGTTACAGATGCATATGAATATCTTCAAATATCTTGTCCTAAATTCAGTCAGTAATTGTAGTGGTGACTAATCAGATAAGGAGTTAGGACGTTATTATAACATGGCCTCAGATGTTTGGTTTTGTTTCATGTCATTATGTACTGACCATTTGGCTTTGTGGTTAGAGTATATGTGAACATACTCGGTTGGCATTGTGTCTGATCTGAAAGATCAGAGAAGTGTTTGACTGAGGGACCAGTCATCACCCTCGACATGCCACGATTCATATGTCAAAGACTCAGCATGTTCCTTGAGTCATTTTTTTAAAAATCACCTTTTATCCCCATGCTATCACCATCTTGACCACAGAGGAGTTTGTCTGCGGTCTTGTCAGAGTGACTGACCAACCTGCTTTCCTAACATCTTACAAAACATTCCTCCATTTGCCAGCGTTGCTAAGAGATCACAACACAGAAAATCTGTTTTTAATTGCATCTCAGTTTGGATTATGCATTGGTTGTTGAGCAAATTTGTAGCCGGTAAAGCCCAGTTAAACTTTAGCCAAAATACTTGTGTTTGGATTTTTACAAGCTAATAAAACTGTGCAGGTGAAGGATATCACAGCTTTTGTTCCTCCCATACATTTCAACTCGTATATTACTACTTAACATTCTGGCAGGGATTTGTGCACAATTATAAGGATGTTAAAATACATGTAAATTATTTTTGCTTATTTTGGAATAGAGGTATATCCCCTTAATAGTATAATAATATTCTATGCTTGTTACACACAATGTCTAAGCTTTTTGGTCTCTGACCTTGACTTATAAAGGCAGTATTGTTGCCAGCTAATCAACGTGTCAGATGTTTTAATTGGAGACCGGTCTAACCCATTGTTGTTACTGTCAGTTAGGATCTTTTTAATATTTAATGCCGTTCACTTCCTCACTTAATCGAATGAGACTGGACGAGAGGACCCCGTCTTGACAGAACAAGCCTATTGACTGAGCAACTGAACTGTGCCTTCTGTTGTCATGACAACGACCCAATGCGAGCTAAAGGTCACAGATGAAAGGGTCGACTAAGCTTTTACCTGAAAACGTCTCTTGAGCATCTAGGCACACACATACTCAGCTTGTACCTTCAAGGAATTCTTGCTTAAACCCAGCTATTCCATCATTGTTATTTAGAGGCTTCTATAAATCTGCACTCTCTTCTACTCCATCCTTAGTCTTCATTTTTATTTCACCATTTCCGTTCTACTAGGGACCCATACATGGGAATAATGGAGGTTTGGCTGTTTCAAAAGGGCTGTTTGGGATCCAATGAGTGGCTTTTTGAGTGTGAGTGTGATGCTGTGGTCTCTGTAGGTTAACACCTGTGAAAGGCCTTGTCCTCTGGGTGCAGAGAGATGCTCTTTAGCGTGACCTCTAAAGGCTAGAGAGAGAAGAGAAAGGTACGGTGGCGTATCCATTTAAAATACAGTCGCTTGCCAAGGTCACATGCACACATGACTGCAGAAACCTGACAGCCATACACTAAACATGCTATAAACTATACCTCAAGAAGTGCACAGCTGTGGTGAGCAAAGTCCAAACTTTCATTGTAAGGCTGAGTGCCAAAAAGGTGTAAATAACATTTTTGAACCAAAAGGACATTTTGAATTACAGACAAGTGCTTATTTGGACTATGTGCTGATAACAGGTTAAAGACTTAAAGATTTGAAAGTAGAAATATAGCATGTACGTATAATGAACAGCCCTAACGTGCATGCATGTTATGTTTTATGAACAGTTTCTATCCTAGCACAATGACAACTTAAGTGTGTTCTCAGTTAAATGGAAACATGTGAAGGCAAGTTGTCATCTTACTGCAGATTGTAGTCTCCTGTATGCAGCACTGGTGCGACTGAAAGGACAGTGCTGGCTGGCCATGGCCTGTACTGTACAAACAGGCCGAAGTGCTTTGTCTGAAGTTAACTGTTGGTGCATTTCTCAAACCGTGCACGAGGGAAATGTGGGTCGTTTAGCGCCAAATGATGGAACGGCTGGCCAACAGCGAAGGGCCGCTAAGGCCATGCCAAGCTTATTGTTCAGAGCTCTCTTGCCCTTGGACAGGGCATTGCACTCACTCTCTCTTTCTAGCCCTCAGAAAGGGCCAGGACGGAAGAGAGCTAATGGCAACCTGGTGAAAGATTTCTGCAGACTGACTGTTATGACTTTCCTGTCCACCGGTTTTGGTCTGAGAGACCACAGCAAGTAACATCAGAGATGACAGAGTGTGCTGCTTTACCCTCACAACAGTGAGGTTTCAGTGTAATGTAGGGCTGAACAATTTGGGGAAAAATATCTAATTGCGTTTTTTCTGACCAATACTGCGATGTAAATTGTGATTAAGGTCCAGGCCATTTTTTCGCCAAGAAAACCAGTATGTCTACCTTTTCTGGCTTGAGGTATGAACACTGTGCCAGACTGCCAGTTTGTTGTGGTTGTCACATACACAGCACATGGGATCTTTGGTTGCTCCTGATTGGTCTCAACTGCAGGCACATTCACATGAATGACTGTAGCTCACAGATTCCCACCCAGTCCTGGGGCTCATGAAAGCTTTCCTAAGGAAAAACATATGAATTATCCTAAGACAAACCCTAAAGTTCATAAAACTGGGCCTCATTCACCAATATCTTCCTAAGTTTTTTCTTAAATGTGTTCTTGAGAAAGGTCCTAAGAAAAAGTCTGTCAGATTCATAATGTTTTTAAACCACAGAACTGTTCACACCTTTGTGCTCTTGAGTGTGTGTGTAGATTGTTTTTATTTAAGAACAAATCACAAATAAGAAAACATTGGTGAATGTCAGAATCATCATGAAAACTGTGTAAGTGGGTTTTAAGAAGAAATTTTCTCGCTTGGTGAATAAGGCCCAATGTTCTTAAAGTAAGTCTTAATTATTTTCCTAATAATTATTTGATTAATTGTTTTTGTGTGTAGACTATGTTATTTGTCATGCATTAGGACTGTCACATTTTACAGATTACCAGAAATTATAGTAAACTAATTCAGTTTAATCACATTGTCCTTGGGCACTAGTGAAACAAAGGTAAAACAAAATAAAACCAAACATTCAAAAACAAAAAGCCATAGAGAACAAGAGACTATGGGGGTGGAAATAGGAAAGAAATTAAGAAAAATAAGGCTTTTTGAAAAAGAAGAATTTCCCTGCTTTTTTTCTTAATGTGGTTAAGGCATATTTAAGATGATTTTCCTTTTTAATACTTTTCTGCTTTAACACACTTGATCCAAATAATCAGCTAATTTAGAAGCCCTTCCTGAGATTAAGTGGGTGCATTAAAGCAGGGAAAACACATGCAGGCAAAGGTACTCCAGGACTAAGGTTTTGAACCTGTGCTAATTGACATTCATTGCCTGTTTTGCCTTAATGCTGGGACTCTAATGTGCTATTAACTTGCTCTTCTGCCCTATAGATGCGCTGGTACCCCTCACCATCTGACACCTCACAGCCCGGGTGGAAATCCCGCCAGTTCTGTTAAGTATTTAGTGAGTATCTCTAAATCTGCTGACCTCAAGCTGTAGTGTAAAACTAGCAACAGCGGTTTTGTTATTCTCTCGCAATTCATTCTCGTCAGCATTTAAATTTACTTTCTGTCCACAGATGCCAGTCAGTACCTGAAGGTTTTTCTTTCTTTTCCCTCCTTCTCTCTCCATGTGGAGCAAAGGCATACTGGGCTCAACATTTAATTTAATCAGGTTTATTTAACAGATGCAAGGAGCATTAAAAGGACTTTACTTTTCTGGAGAAAACTCTTCTCTGAAGGACTCTGAACAGGACAAGACAGGATGGTTATCTACAGCTGGGGCCTCACGGCCTAATGGTACACACTCTGCGTTTTCAAAGCCAAACATGTGACGAGCCGATCATGTGCAAGTTTAAACACTCTAGCTGCGCTCTTTTTTTCGTTGCGTGTGTTCGGAGGGAGGGGATAATCATTATGCATGTTGAAGTATAGTATATGGCATGAAACTTAGAATGCAAAGTTCTGTGTCTGTTTTGGTTTCTCTTTATTCCTTGTGTTGCCATTGTGAAAATACTTGGTCAACTCCCTTTAGCTTTTTCGATATCCTAGTCTAGCTTCTGTGAAGATCTTTGCGCTTGACTTGCTTTTTACATGTACGGTGTTACTTGCAAAGTAGAGGCCAACTTCTTGTTACTATCAAGTCTTGTTTGTTTTTCGTGTGTTCAGAATGAATTTCCACATGCACTGGGTTTTATCTTTTATGATCTTGACTGTAAGCTTGTCCAAGATGGGCAAGTCCTTCTGAGACCCTTCTCCTCCAGACCTTGAACGCCTCGCCCTTGAACGACCCGATCTGCCAAAATACCGGTATCTGTGTTTGTTTAGAGTATATTTGAACAAAAAAGTACAAGTATTTTTGTACATTTGTGTAATAATGGATATTTATGCATTTTTGTGCAATTAAATAAGTATATCTGTATAAGATGTTAAGTCTTCCCTTGTGTTATTTTGCTATTATTTTGATGGATGTTTATTCTGTCTCTATCTTGTTTTATAGTAGAGAAGTGCAATTTTTATTTGCTTTTTGTTTTGTTTGTTTGTTTTTTTTGTTTGCTTGGTGTTGAATACTGAACTACACAGACTGTGGCAGAACTGCTAGTTTAAAATGGACTGCTAAGATGAGATTGCTGTATAAAAAAAAAAAAAAAATTAAATAAATTAAAAAAACAGTGGAAAATGCTTTTTTTCCAGAATGTGAAACTGGATAATAAACAGATTGATCTGCGAAGTCTGGCTGGATTTCTTTAAGAAGGGTGTTATTGTATCCCCTCTAAGGTCAAATGCTGAGCTCAAAGTCAGCAGAAACATACAGTATAAACACTTTCATAGCTGGCTCTCCATTTATGGTCACTCCTGTGCAGTTCTAGCTAATTTGAGAGGCCTTTATCTGAGCCATATCAATAATTCCCAGTAGCCATCCTTTTTAGGAATCACTCTTAGTCTTGCTCACTTCGAGGTTCGTAAACCTTATCTTTTCATAAACCTTTTGTGCATAAGGTTTCCAGAAACTAAACAGTTGGTGACGTAAGCTGTCATGATTCAAACACATATCAAAGTAGTAAAGAGAGTCAAGAGCCCAATTACTCAACAGTTTGTGCCTTTTTGTGACGCAGTCCTTGCTGTGGGTTTGATATTTGTGGCCTGTTTTTAGCAGCCCTAGCAGGAAAGTGTCATATGTAGGAATGTTCGAGGATTGATAGCATCACGATTAGAGCTGAGAGGGGAAATCCCTCTACCTCAAACCAGCTGGGCTGATCGTTCTAGGGCTCTGCAGCCCTGGCTCAAAACTTGTATGCAGACCAATACACGTCAGAGGGTCCAGACTGTCTGCATGCACTCTGTGTAGTGCATTTTCTTACTACAAAACTATAATATTTGCTTTAAAGGTTTTAGTACCAGATTTACTACCTTTCATGTCATATAAGTCTTAATTGGTGCCTGCATTGTTTAATTTCTCAGTGTGAAGCAGAAAACCCATCTCGCTGTTAGAAGCTTCAGGATAGTTACATTTTGTTGACACTGAGCAGATATATGGAAGCTGTTCTCTAACTCCCTTCTCTGAGGAATTTCCTGACTTTGATCAAAGATGCCTGACTCTCCCACTCACTGCTGGGTGGTGTGTGTGTGTGTGCTTAAAAGAGAAGGGGGGGGTACAGAGAATCAAAACAAAAACAAAAAAAATCAAAACAGAAAATGACCCTAAACTTTGCAAATACTTCTCCTAATACAATGTCTCTCTTTTTGCTGGGACATTTGTTGGAGATTTGATGAGTCTCCAGCAGAGGGCCACTGACTCAGTGATGAAACAACCAGGCAATACATGCTTACTTATTGTTGTAACCCAACAATTACAGCCAAACAAAAGAGTTCCTATTGAGGAGCCAAGTGTGTGATCACATGGTGCATGTATGTATGTGTGTAAGTGTGTGTGTGTGGAGGGGTGATGGGGTGCTGAATGTCTGAATGGAGCAGCTGAGTGATTCAGGAGGTAGGAGGGCCCCTGTGCTCACTGTCAGGTCAGATTAAATTTAAATCACAATTGCTTTAATTAACACATCCCACCCAAAAGCACATACACAGAGTTTTGTGTGTATTCAGCGTTGGATTGAGACACACTTTGGCAACATCTGAAGGCATGAGGTGGAAAAAGTACAGAAAAAAACTTAACTGACAGAATGGGTACTGTTTAAACATTTTACTCAAATAAAAGTGGAAGCATGGAGCCAAAATACACTTACGTGAAAGTAAAAAAGTATAAAAAGTTAAAGGTAAATGTTTTAACACATGAATGAATGGTTTTCTTTGTTTAGTAGTGCGTAGTGCTGTGACTGATTGGCAATACAAGTCCTTATGCAAAGACAAATTAGCTTATGGTTGGCAGTTTAATTTCACTCTAATATGAATTTAATTGAATGTTTTAAAGGCCTGTGTCACGAAAAACTGAAATTCCTTCACTTTTCTGAAATGAGTGTGATGTAGCATCTAAACATTGTTAACGTTTCACAACATACCATACCCAGTCCATACCATCCATATAGGGACGCTAATTTGGAAGCCCATTTTCGATCACTATTTTTGTAATGTCACAAAAACTAACTAATTTCAATTTATCTGCATATTCAGCCAACAGCAGTTTAGCCCCATTCATGCTTAAGTTATAAGGAGTGTGTCTGCCTGGACTGCGTTTTGAATGTGGCAGAATACAGAACAGCCAATCAGAAGAGAGGTCATTTACATATATCAGCACAGTAACAAAAACAGCCTGTTTAATTGTAATGGATGAAGAGAGATTGGATAATGGTCATGTACACAAAACCACACATGTCAACAAATGGATCTCGACACAGGATATGGGCCTTGGAATAAAACCAGAGAGAAAAAGACAAAAATCTCTTGGCCTTTGAGATCTGTACTTTGAACATCGAAATGAAAATGTAAGGAATAAAAAGTAAATTTCTCTTGAAAATCTAATTGAATAAGAGTGCAAGTTATTTGATTTACATAATACACCAGTAAAGTACAAATACTAAATAAAGTAAAGGGCCCATATCACAGAAAACTGAATTTCCTTTGCTTTTTTTAAATAAAGGAATTAAAAAACAGCCTGTTCTGAATTCATTGTTTCTGTGATGTCACTAGAACCAACTCTTTTGCATTTATCCAACTATTCATCCTACAGCAGTTTAGTTCCACTGATTCATGTTGAAGTTCTAAGCAGTGTTTTAGCACAGTACTTTTTGAATGAGTAACAATACAGTACAGCCCATCAGAATTCAGATCATTTACATATATCAGTCTTAGTAACAAAAACAGCCTGTTAAATTCTTATGGATAAAGAAAGGTAGGAAAATTGTCATATCAAAATGAATTATGACTGCTTTTGGTACACAAATCCACACAAATGTTATAAAAGGAACTCAAGGGAACAACTAAACAACAAACTCTTGTTTGTACAGTTCTAATTGGCCCCTGCTTGTTTTCTTTCATTCATTATGAGCTCCAACGTCATTTCTAAATGAAGTGATTTCAGTATAATCAGCTTGATGAATGATGTGGAAAGCATGCAGCATCATCATACAGAAATATCAACAGTGTGCACCTTAAATGCAAGTACAAGTACATATCTACACAAAGCTAGGGCCACACCTCCTCATTCTCCACACAACATGTACAAGCAGAGTATAAGCTACTTCTCTGTGCATGTCTATGCTGTAGTGCAGATAGAGTGGTTTCTTTCATTTAACTTTGTGTTTACACTGTCCACTGTAAACATGAGTCTGTCCTCCACCACATGGTTTTTAAGTCAAGCCGCCCCCACCCAGCTGTGCATCTAAAGTTTATCTTAACTAAAGCTTTAGGCTCGATCATTGATAATCCACTATCTAGGCTCCAAGCAAAGACAAAGAGCGAAAGCAACGAAGAGAAGCTGTCGCTCCCACAATTCCCCAAGCATAACTGCTGACTGTCTTCATAGAAATGAATGAAAGACAATATGAAAATTGCCTCACTTGGCTGTAATGTGTATGCAGCACAGCAAATAAAGAGAGGCTAGAAAAGTAAAAAAGAAAAAAAAAGGCCAAGTAAAAATTTGTTATGACTGTTTTTAATACATAAAACTACGCAAATGTCATGGATCATGATGGACCGATCAGTGTTTTTGGGACTGATATCTATTGCCAATTGCCTTTCAGCACGATCAGCCAATAGACAATACCGATTGAGGGCGGGGCTGGATGTTAAGGCCTATCGGGTGGGAAAAAAAAGGATTTTAACATAGTGGGACCTTCACACCGGAAGTCGGAAGTGTTTCTCTGTCTAAATACTCTGAAACCTTTTTTCTTTTAAGCACCGGAACTAAGCAGTGCACATGCTGGGTATATCCGATTTTACAAAAAAACTCAACGTCATTCACAGTCTTTCAGCTTTAAGCCGCCATGCTATCCTACACATTTTTAGTCAGCGTTTTCTTGTCATTTAAGCTTTTGCTTCAAGACTTCTGCCGCCATGCTTAGACACACTTGTTTGTTTGCAACCATGACAGTGGAGCCTGATTTTAACGCATCTATACAGCGCAGAAAATAGAGCAGGCTCCGATGAAGACACTTACGCAGCATTGCAGTCATCAGTTTTGGAAAAGTCAAAAGGTCTGTTTTTCCATCTTGTGTTTGAATGAGGAACTGCAGAGTCCTGTGACTGAGGGCCCCAGGGCAGGGCTGCAGCAATCCTTAAATATGGCTCAGATGTTTTACATCACCGATCAGCTCTCAGTTAAAAAAGTATCGGTCGATCACCAATTACATACTTGGTCTGAAAATCAGCCGATACCGATACACAGCCAATCAATCGTTCCATCTCTACTTCACACATCACTTCTCCTGATCTTGATCTGGCAATGTGAACAAGCTGATCTGCTCATCAAAAGGGACATTATATTTTACAATAGGTTCCTGCAATTGACAATGTCTGAATCCAAAAACGTTCATCATAAATCATTCTGTATTTATTTCCAATAAAATAAATAACAAAGCTTCCACGCACAGCTTAA